GCCCCCGGTGCCTCCCCCCGTTCTCGCTTCCACACCCACAGTGCAAATAGGATTTGGTCTAAAGGAACAGCTCAACAAGCAACAATGTACAGGCATCGCCCCGGAGGAGAGGAGGAGGAGGAGGGGGGTGTAAAGCTTTAGAGCCAAAGGGTACCGGGGACAGGCTCCAGCCACCGGCACACGGTGACTCGGGATGGAACGACCCCACGGGGGGGAATTGGTGTTGCCTTTTCAATACAAAGTTTAGTGGAAGGGCCCCAACACCATGAGCCAATAGCCCCAGTTCTTGTTCCCGGTCCAAACATCCCATTTCAGGCCACGAGGGACTGGGTAAAAAGGGGGAGCAAAAGGGGGGAAAATGCTCATTTCTATCAACTTGGTGTCAACTCAGGGTTGTCCCATGGGAATTACATCTGCTACGAGGCGAGGAGGCTCTGTAAACTTTATTGCAACTGTTCTGTCTCCATGGCCTACACCTCAACTGGGGGGTGGTGGTTGTGGGTTGCTTTTGGAAGTCTGGAAAACTGGTTCATGCATAAAGTTATTGCCTCTCGTGGCTTTAAGACCGCCCCGTGCCCTGGTACACACCTACCACCAGTGAAGCCATTGAAAATGGACTGAAAATGGGTTAAAGGATGCAGGAGCTCCCATTAGGGCTATCAACTCAGGGATTCTTATCTCGGGTATGAAATGTTGTGATGAAGTTCTTTCCCCAAACCCTGAAGACGACACTTTTTCTTACTCCAGATCTGGCATTTCTAGAGAGGAATGAGAAGAGAGAAGAGCATTAGTGGGTTTGGGGTAGCTCCAAAGCCTTGTTTCATCCCCCTCAGCCCAGGGCATGGGGCAGTTGAAGGCATCTGGGTCTGGTTCTTCCCAAGGAAGAGCCACGTGCGGGCACTGAAGCCACCTCCAGGGGCAGGGATGCTCTGAAAGCCAAAGCCTGCCCAGGCCTACGCTGGCTGGGAAGGTCAAACTGGGATTTCAGGAAAGGCTGCCCCTGGATTACAGCCCTCAGCCAGCCCTGGCGTTAGCTCAGGACCAGGGTTCAGTGAGTGACAGGAGGGAACGTGCGTGGTGCCACACGGAATCATGCTGGGACATGACTTACTTTCATCATCACTGTCTGGTGAGTCCTGGGGAGAAGAAATAACAACATTAATGGAGCAGACTGGGCTTGAAGGAGCTTTTTCCTCCCCCCCACTCCCCGTTCCTGCAGTGAACCCTGTGAGCCACAGCACGAGCTCAGTTTGGCCTCACTGGTGTGAGCAGCTACAGACCCATCACATCCCCATGTGCTCTGGAGCCAGGCTGGGAGAGCTGGGCTGGGGCAGCTGGAGAAGAGAAGGCTCCTGAAGGGGACACCTTAGAGCAGCTCCAGTGCCTAAAGGGGCTCCAGGAAACCTGGAGAGGGGCTTTGGACAAGGGATGGAGGGACAGGACAAGGGGAATGGCTTGAACCTGCCAGAGGGGAGATGAGGTGGGATCTCAGGAGGAAGCTCTTCCCTGTGAGCCCCAGTGAGGGTTTGGTGCTGCTGAAGAGCCTGACCCCAGCACAGAGCAACGTGTGTTTCCTACAAAGCACTTACATCATCTGCCCCATCTACTTCTGGCAAGTCTACGTCGTCATCTCCACCCATGTTGTTCATCATCTGCTCCAGAGAGAGAAAGCCACGTTAGAGAGGGGGAAGCCCCACAAGCAGAGACCACTAGGAAGAGGAGGAAGGCTCTTCCTAGAGGGAGGCCAGGGAAGGAGGCCCCAACTTCCAGGGATTCATGTTCCCCTACCTCGGAAAAGCGATCGAAATTGGACATGTCTTCATCTGAGTCGTCTTCCCAGTCTTTCCAGTTGTTGAAGTCCACACTGAGCCAGTTGAGCTGCACGTGACACAGGGATGTTAGTGCAGGACGAGCAAGCAGCGAGCTGGCACCGCAGGAAGGCAAAGCCCAAGTGCTGCTCTCATCACAACTGCAGCAGCACTTAAACACCACCCAAGCGAGGAAACCCCACGCAAAAGCAGGGAGACAAGAGGAGCTGAACCCACCTTTGCCCTCTCTTTTGTTAACCTGGGCCATGCCTGACCAGACTCTCCTTTTCGTAAACAACACAGGATAGATCTGTCTGTTCTTTTATGCTTTGATTCCTGGAAGGGAGGAAAAGCCCTGTCAGCATCATCCCCAAGAGCTGCTTTTATCACTTATCTTGAGCTTTCAACTCCCCCTTTGCCCTGAAAAACACCAGCCAGAGACGCTTTCAAGGCAGGATGAGCCCCCAGCATCCTGAAGGAGCTGCTGTCTCCCAGGACACCGCGCTAAGAAGCCAGAAGGAGTCAGGAGGATACTTACATTTGGATCAATATTATTAAAAAGGTCGATTTCATTTAAATGTTTAAAATTATCGCTTCCTCCGAGACAACTGTTGAGAGAAAACAAGAGGTGGTTGGTACAAACCAGCTCCTAGAACAGACACGCTTCATCCACACATCAACAAACACATCATGCCCCTGCTCCCAGCCTGGTGGTTGTGTCTTTCCTGCGCTTCTACCCACTAGCTGGTCACTAGTGGTGGGTGACAACAGCCCCATGGAATGCTCCAGGCTTGGGGAAGCTGCTCATGGAAAAGGATCCCCATTGATGGAGCTGAACATGGCAGCCAAGAAGCCCCCAGCACCCTGGCCTGGCTCAGCACCAGTGTGGCAGCAGGGCCAGGGCAGGGACTGTCCCCCTGCGCTGGGCACTGGGGAGGCTGCACCTTGAATCCTGTGTCAGTTCTGGGCCCCTCACTGCAAGAGAGACATTGAGGTGCTGGAGGGGCCAGAGAAGGGCAATGGAGCTGGTGCAGGGCCTGGAGCACAAGTGTGATGGGGAAGGGCTGAGGGACCTGGGGGGTTTAGTGTGGAGAAGAGAAGGCTCAGGAGGGACCTTATTGCTCTCTGCAACTGCCTGACAGGAGGATGGAGCCAGGAGGGGGCTGGTCTCTGCTACCCAGGGACGGGACGAGAGGGAGCGGCCTCGAGCTGCCCCGGCCCCGCACCTGAAGGTGAGTTTGGCTTTCTCGAAGTTCACGTGCACGTCCCGGCTGTCCTCCACGCAGAACTCGATGAAGACATAGTCTCTGCGGTCGTACCACTTGGCGGAAGCGGGCTGCCTGCGGGGACACG